CTGAGGGACAGAGCCCAGGCCTAGAGTTCAGGCTCCACAACCGGACCCAAAAAAAAAAAAAAAAAGATGTATATCCACATTAAGGGTTCAGAGTGGTTTTTTAACACCTTTGTAACTTTCTAGTCATGAATCTAATTTTAGAGCTGGGAAAGTGGCTTAGTGGTGGAGTGCTTGCATAGCATGCATGATTCCTCAGTATCACATAAACAAAAGGCCAGAAGTGGTGCCATGGCTCAAGTGGTAGAGTGCTAGCCTTGAGCAAAAGAAGCTCAGGGATAGTGCCAAGCCCTGAGTTCAAGCCCTAGAACTGGCAAATAATGATGATGATGATGATGATGATGATGATTGATGAAAGGGCTGGGAATGTGGCTCAGTGGTAGAGTGCTTGTCTAGCATGCATGAAGCCCTGGGTTCAATTCCTCAGAACCAATATACAGAAAAAGTCAGAAGTGGCACTGTGACTCAAGTTGTAGAGTGCTAGCCTTGAGCCAAAGAAGCTCAAGGACAGTGCCCAGGCCCTGAGTTCAAGCCCCAGGACTGGCAAAACAAAACAATCTAACTTCAGTGGTATTATTTATATCTAAATAAGTAGTACTAAGGGTTGAGCTCAGGACCTTATACTTGCTAGGCAAGTACTCATTCCTTTGAGCCACTCCTCTCCTGCCCTTTTTGCTTAGATTATTATTTTTAGATAGGCTCTGGTGTTTTTGCCCAGGATTGACCTGGACTGTGATCCTCCTCCCTTCATCCTGCCATGTAGTTGGAACCATAGGCATATAAACTCAGGCTTAGCTTATTGGAATCCTGGGGTTGGCTTCTACCTATGATCGTCTCAATCTACACTTCTGGAATAACTTGAATTATAGACCTGAGCCATTGTTCCTGGCCCTTGACATTAATTACAAATACTATACTTCAAAATATGTGGAAATATGGAAGGTTTGCTCCCCAACTGATAGATCTAATCACCTCTCAGTGATAATGTAATCTCACTGAGAGGTGATTAGATTATGAGGAATCTGACCTAATCAATAAATGAATCCACTGATGAATTCAAAATTTTATGGCTCCCTTGGGAGGTAGAAATTAGGAGATGGAATCTGGTCACCCTTTGATTGCCTTTGAAGGATAATCTTGTTCCTAGTCCCTTTCCATTGTTTTCTCCACTTTCTGACTACCAAGAGTTGAGCAGCTTGGCTCCCTTGGAACCCTAGAAACAATGGAGCCAGCTGACCATAACCTCTGAATCCATAATCCAAGCTAAATTCTTCTCCTTTGTTTATCTCAGGTATTGTATCTCAGCAATGACAGGCTCACTAACACGGAGTCTTGAGGTCTTCAGTAGGATTTAGAGTGGTTATGGATTATATCTCTGACAAAACATAGAGATGTATGCACAATGGGTGTTGGCTCAGTCAACAAGTTACACTTGTCTTCATCTGAAGGGCAAGATGACCAGCAGGCAGGTTTGGTGTTTGTCTGTGAGTATACCAACATCATCGGAGTGAGTACCTCAGCAAACAGACTCTGAAGCGAGCAGTTTCATGAGATCTTTGTGATGTTGGCTGCTGCCAAGCACTGTGGGATCAGCAGCCAGCTCCACTCCAGCTGTGTTGTCCCCTCTCCTGCTGATTCCCTACTGTCCAAAAATTTTACACTCACTGATTCTATACAGTTGAGTTTAGAAGCAGTGAAAGTTTCAAGGTATCTGTTAAATAAACCTCCTTTGGCAGGTATAGGCATAGAAAATGGAAATGGCTCTATTCACCTTAAAATGGACAGAGGACAGGGGGTTAATTGTCAGGGCACTGGACTCAGTTTGGGAAAGTGCTGCCTAATCAAAATAGCTTTGCTATCACTTTACCTACTGTTAATCAAGACTTAAATAGTACATGCTTTGTACATTCCAGAGAGGCTTCCTATTAATTTATTTAGAGTTCATTTAAGTCCTCTTAACAACCCAATGAGGTAGGGACTGTTTTTTTTTATTTATTTGTTTTTTGTTTTTTTAGAATTCAACTGGACTTTATTTGACACAGAATGCAATATCACTGCAGGAACAGCAAAATGAAAAGACAAAGGAGAAAAGACACTGTTCTAGCTAATGTATGATTAGTAAAGAGGGACTAGTCACTAAATGAATAACAAAACAGTTAAGCTTGATGGAAGAATTTTTTTTCTAGTGGCCATACTTTTGGAATTCCCACTCTCTGTTGTCCAAAGGGCAACTTGCTGTGTTTTAAGCCAGCTAGAGATGCAATTGGAAGTGAAAGGCATGATTACAGACCCCCCACGCAACTGTACACTCTTTGGAAGTCACAGATGCCTGGTTAGCCTGACATTCCATGCAAAGATCCAAAATATGGTTCCTGCAGATGGCACAGTTATCAACCACAATATCTCAGGCCCACAGGGCTACTGCATTCCACTTTGTCACTTCAAAGCACTTCTTGCCTGCGCCGCTGTTGGTGCAGCTCAGGGTGTCCATATCCATCCCTGCCGCACTTTTGGAAACACATGGTCTGTCATTAGGTCACCGCTGGGACTGTTTTTATCTTCAGTTTACAGATGAGAAAATTGAAGCATGAGAAGTCAAATAACTTATTCAGTCTTATATAAGATACATATACCTAAAGAGCTATTATTTAGTGCATTTTACATATGAAGTCTTTTTTTTTTCAACCATGGGATTTGAACTCTAGGTTTGGTGGTTGTCCCTGAGTTTTTTTATTCAAGGCTAGCACTCTACCACTTTGAGCCACAGTGCCACTTCCAGGTTTCTGGTGGTTAATTGGAGATAAGAGTCTCACAGACTTTTCTGCCCAGGTTGGCTTTGAACCGCCATCCTCAAATCTCAACTTCCTGAGTAGCTAGGATTACAGGTGTGAGCCACTAGTGCACAGACTGACATCTTATATTTAAATAAACTTAAGCTCATCATTTCAATGAGACAAGAACTTCTTGCCAAATCAATCTTTGTATGTATGTGAAAGATGTTAAACATACTCTCAACTTTTTAATCAGACTTCGATGGTCTTCTAACACAATAACCTGGGGCATATTTTGAAATAATGATAGAATTATGTAAGGGCTTACAATATTGGAAGCAGAAACTCAAAGGCCTATATTTTGGGTGTAGGAGTAAGGCAAATACTATGGTTTATCTCATCTAAAACTCCTGATTTATGATTCGTTCATGATATGAATAGATTAATGAGCTCTCTTGAGAGTGAGTCTGATATAAATGTTTGGGATTGGTGATGTAATTCAGTAGTATAGTACCTGCTTAGAATGTGTAAGACCCCTAGGTATGCTCTCCAGCACTGTTTTTTTTTTTTTAAAGGCCAGTATATTCTTTTTTAGTTCTCTCCCATATTGTTTCTCATCTTTTGATGCCTTGTGCTTCCTGAGGACTGCCAACAAGACAGTGACCACCAGATGTATACCCTCAATCTTGGACCAAAAATTATGATACAAAATAAACCCTTATAACTTACTGCTATGGTTTAGATAGAATCTGAGTGTTTCCACCGAGGGTTCATGTGCTGGGAAGCTTGGTTCTCAGGGTGCTGGTGTAAAGATAGTGCAAACTTAAAGAAATGGGGCCTAGAACTGGAGCCATGAGGTACCAAGTGGTACCTAGCACTGACTGGGTTCAAACCCCAATACTATCAAAAAAAAAAAAGAAAGATGTGAATTCAAGCAAGAGGTCATGATGGGCACCTGTTTCTGAAGAGATATAGTTCTTCTAGATTAATTCTCTCCAGAGTGAGTTGTAAAAGAGGAATATTGATCCTTTCCTCCTCTCTCTCCTCTTTCTGTAAGGGCCCACAGTAGTGAGAGCAGAAATCCAAAGCCCTATATTTTTCCCTTTCCCTCTTCTTTTTCTCCCACCCTTCTCTCTCATAAGCAATACTTTGTGCTTTACCACTGAGCTACATTCCCACCCCTTTGAGTTTTTGAGATAGGATCTCTCTATGTAGCCTTGCTTGGATTTGAAGTCACTATATCACCCAGACAGGCCTCAAATTCAAGATCCTACTGCCTCAACCTCCCACGTGGTGGGATTCCAAGCATGTACTACCACTCTTGGCTTTATAAACCTCTTTATAAGGTATCCAACCTCAGGAATTTTCATTTATCTATAGAAAATGGACTTTGTCTGTGCTATTGTGTCATTAAAAACAAGAGACTAAGGTTTCTCCCAGAATTTTGGGCTGTCTCAAGGCCATTAGTATTTGAAGTCCTTGCTGGCCTTCAGAGATTGTTTGCAGAGATAAGCAATGTATAATAAATAATCTGAAAGCAAATCCCTAAAAAGGTATACAGGGGAAGTATGTGGCCTGAGTTTTCTAGGAAATTTTCAAGCATATTGTTTATAAAATGGTTTCATAAGAAACTTCCTTGGAATATTGACAAAGTTCCTTGTCACTTGAACAATCTTAATCAGAAAAGAAGTCAAACTGACAGCAGGCCTGGGCTGGCCAAGGAGAGACCTTGGAAAGTCATGCAACTTTGAATAAGTGTGCATAAGCATTTCTTAAAAGGGGGTTCGTTCTCACAGAGGTCAAGGGAGCCTCCAAAAGGCGAGGAATCACTGCCAGATATCCTATTATCTATTTTTGGAGACCCTGAATAGTCAGATCCGGAGAGGATCAGAGAAAATCTGCACACTGTCCTCAGGTGTGAAGGGACATGAGAAAGGCCAAGCTCTGAGTTGCTCCTTTGACGTCACTGCTCAAGAGAAACCCCCATCGCACCTGCAGCTGGAGTTCAAGAGCGGGCGTGGCTGGATGGAATCTGCTCCGGCAGGCAAAATGGTGTCTAGGGAACTAGCTGTGGCCGCATGTGTCCCAACCCTCCCCTCGCTGAGCGCTAGTCTACTCGCTTTGGCAAGCGAGCACCGAACTACGGGGCGCGCACTCCTTTTCTTGGTGGAGGGAGCGTGCTTCGCTGCGCGCTGCGTCCTACAAGACGTGCTGACGTCGCGGAGGGCCGGCAGTCGGCACGGGAGCGGCCGGCGCGCGCCTGTGCGTTGGGTGCCGTCTCGAGACAGGCGGGCGGGCGCTCGGGAGAGAGCGGCTGTGCGGTCTTTAGGGCGGCGGCCGCCACAGCAGTAGCGCCCTGGGTGGAGAGGGCCGAAGCGGCCTAAGGGGTAGGGGATGGGGAGGACCGGGCCCCTCATCTCTCTGAGGCGCACGTACAGCTCCTGGGGCGCACAGTGACAGTGACGGCGCCCCTGGCCCGCTTTGCCAGAGAGCCCGTAGCGGGCCGGGCCATGAGGAGCGGCCGGGACCGGGCCAGGCCTCGCTGACCCCGGCTTCGCGCGACGGCCTCCTCTCCATTTCCGCTCCAGCCTCTCGGCATGAGCGTCCACCTGGGCCCGGGGCCGCGGCTGCCCCAGTCCCGCCGCCCGCGGGCGTGCTCGGGCCCTTGTGGCCCGAGGTGCTGATCCCGGTTCACCGTGCTGCGCTGCCAGCCTGCCCGCTGTATGCCCCGGGGGCGCGGCCATGGAGGTGGTGGGCGACTTCGAATACAGCAAGAGGGACCTCGTGGGACACGGGGCCTTCGCCGTGGTCTTCCGGGGGCGGCACCGCCAGGTGAGCGCCCCCCATCCCCGAGCCCAGCCGGCCAGGGCGAGGCCGGGAACCCCTGGGCCTGAATCCGGGTGGGGTGTGAGGGGGGAATCTTCAAACTTCGGAAGCCGACGCTTGCCACCAAGTTGGCTTGCCAGCCCCGGGCCTCCCATTGTGCGCGCTGTCAATGTCTCGGGGTTTGTTTTGGTCGTTGGAGGATTGTTTTGAGGCCGGAGCCTCTAGGCAGCGCTCCACCTACCGACGGGCGTCAGGCCACTGATGTCCCCTTCTTGTCAGTGTGCTTGGTAACTACCACACTCCACCCAAGGCTACTCCAGGACCCCCAAAATCTGCACGGTCCTTAGCACCTTTTGAGGCTCCAGCATTGGATACACCTTTGGGTCATTTCCCCACCCCCCTCCCCCGCCCCATTCCACACACCCGCGTCCTAGGTTGCTGAGGCTTGTCACCTTTGCGGTTGATAATTGCAGCCCCAGCGGAAAATGGGCGGGTTTCCCGTTAGCTGTAGCCTTTCTCAAAGTGGGAGATATCATTTCCTCAGCATTGGTTCCCCTACACCCGGATGAACCCCGGACCATCTTCCCCACGGCTTAGGCCAGCTCAGACGCTAATCCAAAAACAAACAACAACAACAAAAGCCCAACAACAACAAAACCAGAAACAGGAACGAGTGTTAAAGCTTTTAACACAAAAAAATTAAAACCCCTCATTTTTCATGATTAGGGTCATTGGAGGTGTTAGAATCTAAATTTGAACAGGCAGTGGAAATAATCCTAAGAGCTTTGGATTGTTGACAAGGGACATGTTAAAAGTGGGCTTTCTTTGTTGCTTATCTTTCATTTATTATGACAATAATTTAAAACCGAAAAAGTGAAAAGGTGGTATAATCCAGCTAAGTTAACCGTATGGCCCCCTGTAATTCTTGGGTTGTGAACTATCTTTTTCACGAATATGGGTCTTCATAGTCACCTTTTCTTAGGGCTGTATTGAAGGACATGGGCGTGTTACACTGTCATTTATGAAATCATTTTCCTTTTGGAGGAGGTTGAGGTTCTTCATTTTTATTTGCTAGGTCATCTTCGTTCCTAAAAGACTTTTTTTTCCTGTTGAGTTGTTTTTGTTTAACAATTTCCAAAGTAAAAATATTTTTCCTTTTCAGAAAACTGATTGGGAGGTAGCAATTAAAAGTATTAATAAAAAGAACTTGTCAAAATCACAAATACTGCTTGGAAAGGAAATTAAAATCTTAAAGGTATGTTACATTATACAGTATTGCATAGAAAGTTAAAACTTTTTTTTAATAAAACTTATTCTTAATTAAATGACTATGTGCTGGCATCTTTTATAATTTTGGTAGTTGGGCCCAAGTTCATTTTTGCATGCTCAGGTTTTTGAAACATTGAGTACTTTGAAGCTGCTTTTAAGAATAGAGATTTATGACTTTTGGCCTTAGAGAAATTCTGTGAAAACTGATTTTAGCTTTTCATAATTTTCTTGTCTCATAGTTACTGTGTTATTGTTTAAGAACAGGCAAATGGATCTGATACCTTGTTTATTATATTGCCTCCCTTTTATGTTGTCAGTTTTGTGAGGGAGGCATAGAGGTACTTGAGGTATTTTTTTTCTTATAAATTGAAAGTTATTTTTTCTTGGAGGTGATCTTTTTGGAACACTCATAGCCTATACTATTATTCAAGTTAGAGGCCTTGAGGAAAAAAGTTCCATGATCAAATAAATTTGAAAAATCCTGTTTACTGGATACTTGGATAGTCACAAAACACTTGGCACACTACAGAGAGTGAAAACTTCAGTGGACTAAACCCTGTGTTTCCCAGACCAGATATCAGCGTGGAACCCTCAGCCAACACTCCCCAGCTTCCCTCAGAACTGTCCTGTGGAAAAGTGCTTTGGTATGAATTAGAGAGCTACAAATTATACTTTCCTCTTCTTCCAGGCAGATTCTATTTTTTTTAAAGCACTTGGGGGAATGTTATATCTCTCTATTGCTATCAGAAATTTATACTGATTTTTGAAAACTAGTACACAGTCTGTAGTCATACTGCTCATAGCATTCATTTGGTTAAAAGACTAAAAAATGTGGTGGGGTGGGGGTGGGGAGTAGACCCCAAGTCAAGTTACTGGTTTGGTCTTTTTTGTTTTTTGTTTTTGTACCAGTACTGAGACTTGAAGTTGGGCCTGAATACTGTTCCTTAGCTTCTTTTTTAAATTAAGGCTGACACTCTCCCACTTGTGCCACAGTTCCACTTCTGCCTTTTTTCCTCAGATCTCAGATTCCTGAGTAGCTAGGATTACAGACATGAATCACCAGTGCCTGGCCCAAGTAAAGTGTTTTTATTTTTATGAAAATTTTACAGTTATCTTTATACAAAGGGATTTCAATCCAACATGTCAGTTTATGTGTGCCATGCATCATGATCAATGTCACTTCCATCCTACCCAATTACTTCCAACCCCACTTGTCCCCTGAAGTTACGTGGTTCAGTTTTCACATTTGTACATTGAATATTATGACTGTAATTGCACACCCTTCCTCTCTCCATTTGTCTGCCTCCTTCCTCCTGAGCTCCACCCCTGACAAAACATGTTTCAGTTTCCTGGTATTCATTTTGTTAAACTGTAAATTAATTGTTTGAAGAAGTTACAGCATTAGAATCCTCTCTGGCTTATCCTATACTCTATAGTCAGTTTGTGTGTATGTGTGTGTATGTATGTATGTACACATATGATCTTGTATATGTTTTTATAGATATTTGTAATTTAGATCTAACTTCTATATATGCTCAAGTAAAATTTTATCAAGTACATTTCTTTTTGTCTTTCATAGATTTAATTTTAGGCTATTAATAAAGGTATAATATGGTAGATATAGTATATTTATATTTGTGTGTACTTAATTATTTGCATGCTGAAATATATTTTAATTACTAAAATAAATATTAATATTTTTACTTTTTACTTTCCTTACCAGGAACTTCAGCATGAAAATATTGTAGCACTCTATGATGTTCAGGTACCTTATTTTGGATTTTTGAAAAGAACCTCAAAAAATTTCTAATGCAAATTAATTTCTTAATAGAAACTGAAAATTTTCAGTTCTTGTTGAAAAGACAGTTGGAATTTCATTAAGTAATTGTTTAAAATAGCATAGAGTAGTAGGTTAAAATAAACTAACGTGCTACATGAGAGTAAATTTATTGACAATTGATGGTATATTGTAGGGGTTGTATTTTTAGATTATGTAAAGGAATACTGACACCAAATCTAATATTTCTGTGATAAATGTAGAGAAGATGATTGTAGGCTATTTAAAAGTTAATAGAATGGAGATTTTTCTTCATAGAAAAATCTGTTTTTATTTGTAAATAATATTACTTTAAGTTACTATTATGTTATTAGTTATTTGTAAGGAATATAAATAAGGAAATTAAATGAAGCAATTAAATGAAGCAAGAATGTTGTATGTATCCATCACCCATATATATATGTGGTTATCAGCATGCCATTCAGTAGAGTTGCATTTCATTTGGAGATGGGAAAACTGGGTTTTAAAGTCATCTTTTTTTTTTTTTTTTGGTCATGGGGCTTGAACTCTAGGCCTGGGTGCTGTCCCTTGGCTCTTCAGCTCAAGGCTAGTGCTCTACCACTTGAGCCACAGTGCTACTTCCAGCTTTTTCTGTTTATATGGTGCTGAGGAATCGAACCCAGCTCCTTATGCATGCAAGGAAAGCACTCTACCACTGAACCACCTTCCTAGCCCCTAAAGTCATCTTCTAAGGCAAAATTTTCTGTAGTTAGAATAGCTATCTTTTTATTTATATATTTGTTTATTTAGTATTAGTACTGGGACTTGAACTCAAGGCCTGTGTGTTTTCCTGGGCTTTTTTTTTTTTTTTTTTGCTCAAGGCTAGCACTTTGTCATTACATTACTATGCAAGTCTTTCAAGTTGAGACTTTTGGGGAAAAGATGCGGAAAGACAAAAGATGAGAGACTGTTGTGAAAGAGCTCGTTAGCACGTTAGACTGGAGGAGAAAACTCACACAAAACTATTCTATTCCATAAACTGATAAAAGAAGCACTTTTTTTTTTGGTGCCAATCCTGGGGCTTGACCTTGGAGCCCTGGACACTGTCCCTGAACTTATTTTGCCTCAAAGCTAGACTTCTACCACTTGAACCACAGTTCTACTTCTGACTTTTTGGTGGTTAATTGAAGACGAGTTTCACAGACTTTCCTGCCCAGGCTGGCTTTGAACCGCCATCCTCAAATCTCAGCTTTCTGAGTAGCTAGGAGAGTAGAAGTGAGCCACTGGCACCCAGCTTCTTTATCTTTTTAATAGACTAGTTTTGGAGGAAACTACTGTTGTTTGGATAGAGTACCAGATGAAGTAGTTAACCATTATTTAGGAACTCATGTTTTTAAAAATCCTTTTTTTATATACCAGAATTATATTTGACTATATGAGAGCCATGGGAACTGAAACAAGTGAGGGAATAGAAGATTCAGGTTTTCTTGCTACTCTCCATGGTAGTCTAGTATGCACAATTTACATTTTTTTCTTTTCTTTTGTCTGGGCAGTTAAATTCCAATAAAGTAAATGGACATGTTATACTGTTCTGTTACATTTCTGGTTAAAATATTTTATGTGTTCATTTGCTTTATTTAACTTCATTTTCAAATTTTTGTTTATCATGTGCCAGGCATTGATTGCTAGAAAGAAAACAATGAATAAAACAAAAGTCCTTTCCCTCAGTGTGCTTAATTTTAGTTCAGTGAGACAAAATAGACTGTTCTAAATATACATTTTTGGTTTTTTCCCTAAATATACTTCTTTATGTGACTACATACCACAAAATATTTATATCCATGTTATAAGATAGTTTTAACTTTTTCTATAACAATAATGTATACCTTCTGCTTATACTTTTGGTTTTTAGATTTGGAATGATAAGATCAAATAGTATACATGGTTTTAGGTTTTTGATTGTACAGTGACTGCTTTCCAAAAATTTTGAAATTTAAGTTCTGTTACACAGAAAATGTGAATGCTGCAGTGTGATTTATTACTTGTTTAAATTGATCCCTTCATTTGAAATTTTCAAATCAGCATTAAAAATACATTAAAGTCAAAACTAAACTGATCTCACAGTCTCTAGTTGGACTGTCCATTCTCAGATGTATTTGTTTAGTTTTATTCTCTAGAAATGGCACCAAGTGGTACAGCCTGGTACAATAATTGTTAAATATTTACTCTTACATTGAGTCTAAGGAGATTCCATGAATAAATGATGTATAAACAGACTTGGTAAGTGGGGGAGAAGGCTAGGTTAGGGGATAGTAGCAAAAGATCAAGTCAGTTTCCATAAGAATTGAAGCCTTCAGTAAAGAACACAGACATTAAAGGTCACTGAGCTTGAGGATCCAAGAGAAGGTCAGTGTGACCAGGGTGCAGAAAGCAAATGATGTTGGAGAAGTTAGCAGAAGCCAAATATGATCTAAAGATAGTGCTAAAGGATATTCTAAGGATAGTGCAAAAGCAGGAGAATGCAGTGGTGTGTTTTTCAAAGATTAATCCTGAACATTCTCGGCTGGGTACAGTGGCTCAAGACTGTATTCCTTGTTACTTAAGAAGCATAGTTAGGGGAATCACAGCTCAAATCCAGCCTGGGTGTAAAAGTTCATGAGATTCCATCTCAACCACTGGCTGGGTGCAGTGGTTCACCCCGTCATCCAAAGCTATGGGGGAAGCACAATGAATGACTGGGTGCTGTGGTGCATACCTGTCATCCCAGAGTAAAAAAGGAAACACAAATAGGAAGATTGGAGATGGGGACAGCAAGAGTGTTAGAGGGGGTGAGATTTATTGGACTATATTTTGAACATAAATGAAAATGGGATCACAGTCCAGGCCCGTCTGGGCATAAAGCAAGACTTTTGTCTTGAAAATAAATGAATAAAGCAGTTGATGGAGTGGCTTACGTGTAGAGTAACTTCTAACCATACTCATAATATAAGGCTGTCCAGTACTTCAAGGGAAATAAATCTAAGGTTCATAGGAATGGGTATTTTTTCACCTGTGAGTATAGAATAATTGGAGAATAAAGAAATGTAGCAGAGCTGGGCATTAGTGGCTCATGCCTGTCATATTAGCTACTTAGGAGATTGAGTCACAGTTCGAAGCCAGTTTCAGCAGAAAAATTAGATCCAATCTCAACAGAAAAAAACTGGGTATGGTAGTTGGTTATAGTGGTGCATGTTTGACATCCCAGCTGAGAACAGGAAGTTTAAGATGTTTAGAGTCAGGATAGCCCAGGCAAAAGTGACACCCTACCTCAAAAATAGCCAGAACAAGCTATGCATCAGTGAGAACAGGAAGTTTAAGTAAGATGTTTAGAGCCAGGACAGCCCAGGCAAAAGCGAGACCCTATCACAAAAATAGCCAGAATGAGAGAGAGAGAGAAAGAAAGAAAGCAACAAAGGAAGAAAGGACTTACAGAACATGATGTAGACTGAAGTTTGATACTGTAATAAAAAAAATCAACCACAGGAAAAAAAAATAGAACAAGCTATGCATCAGTGATTCATGCCTGCAATCCTAACTTCTCAGAAGGCTGAGATCAGGGATTGCAGTGTGAGGCTAGCCCAGGCTGTCTGTAGTTAAATCAGCAAAAATACTGGACTGAAAGTGTCGCTCAAGTGGTAGAGCACCAGACATGAGCAAAAAAAAAAAAAAAAAAAAAGCCCAATGAAAATGAATTCAAGTCCTGGTATCAGCACAAAAACAAATCCAAAAACCAAAACCCAGAATATAAAGGCTGGAGGGCCTGGTGCCAGTGGTTTATTCTTGTAATCCTAGCTACTGAGGATTGCAGTTTAAAGCCAGCCTGGGCAGGTAGGTCCATGAGACTCTTATCTCCAGTTAGCCACCAGAAAACCCGGAAGTGGAGCTGTGGTCCAAGTGGTAGAGCATTAGCCTTGAGCAGAAAAGCCCAGTGATAGCTCCCAGGCCCAGAGTACCAGCACAAAAAAAGGGCAGAGGGCTGGAAGCATGCATGCCTAACAATTGTGAGGTCCTGAATTCATAACCCCTAGTAAGTGGGGGAGTAGCAGAAAAATAGGATTTGAATGTTAGGAATTAGGGATTTTTTTTATCTTTATTACTTAATGCTTTTCTTTTGTATCATATTGTCGTTTTCTTCACTTTTACTTGTAATTACCTGAAGTGTGCTCAGAAAATTACCTGCTAATGCTATCAAGTTAAAAAAATTCCATTATTTTGCCAAATTACAGAGTCCTAGTACCTTAGTATAAAATAATTCAAATGCTCTAACAGTATATAAAATGTAAAAAGAAAAGCTGGACACAATGGCTCACCCCTCTAATTCTAGCTACTCAGGATACTGAGGCTTCAAGAGGCATAGCTCCAGGCCAGTCTAGACAAAAAGTTCTTGAGACCTCCATCTCAACCAATAGCTCAACGCAATGGCACATACTTCTCATCCTAGCTATGTGGAAAGTGTAAATAGAATGCTCACAGTCTAGGCTGGCTTAGACCATAAAAAGAGAACCAATTTGAAAAATGATGGTAGAGTGCCTGTTTGGCAAGTGCAAGGTCCATTTAAACCCCAGTAATTTTTTTTTTAAGTAGTTAGACTGTGGTGCTGTTATATGATTGAACAATACTGATTTACTTGAAAAAAAAACCTACTCTAGATTGAGGTTTATTGAGTCATTATTTTAGAGAAAGGATATTTTAGTTGGAATTTGAGCAGGTTTGTGATAAATAAAAACTATGTGGTTCACAATAGAGATAGTTTCACTCTGTCTCTGTCTTTCTCTCTTTTTCTTTTGTTCACATGCACACATCCACATACACTATATATTTTTCTTTTGTTTTATTTCTGATAAGAGAAAGCAAGCCAGCCTTCTTGAACAAGCCAACCTGCCTGCCTCTCTCCTTCCTTCCTCCCCTTCCTTCTTTCCTTCCTTCCTTCCTTCCTTTCTTCCCTCTTCTCTTCTCTTCTCTTCTCTTCTCTTCTCTTTTATTTTGGACTGTTGTGAGGCCTGAACTCTGGGCTTGGGTACTGTCCTTCAGCTCTTCAGCTCAAGGCTAGCACTCTACCACTTGCACCACAGCACCAGTTCTGGCATTTTCTGCTTATGTGGTGCTGAGGAATCGAACCCAGAGCCTCATGCATGTAAGGCAAGCTCTCTACCACTGAACCACTTTCCCAGCCTCTCATTCCTTTCCTTTTCTTTCTTCTTTAAGATAGTGTCTTCTTGTGTAGCCCATATTGGCCTAGAAATCACAATCTTGCTACCTTACCCTCCTAATTGCTGGGATTACAGAGCTGTACCACTGTTCTCAGTAAGGAAGCTTTTTTTCTTCCAGCCTCAATCTTCTAGCCTGCTGAGTGCTAGCTGTTCTCCACCTGCTTCCTTATTTGTCAGGGAAGCTCTGCTGTTAGAAGCCAGGCATCTGTTTTAGCATCTCTATGTTGGTTGGGATCCTGCCATGGCAGGAGCTGGCTCCTCCTTCCTTTTCAAAGAATAAAAGGTAGCACCTTTTTATGTGGAACTTTCATATAATACTAAGATTAAAGAATTGGGTATGTTAGCCAGGTGCAGGTGGTTCATGCCTGTAATCCTAGCTACTCAGAAGACTGATCTGAGGATCATGGTTCAAGTCCAGCCTGGGCAAGAAAGTCCAAGAGACTCTTATCTCCAATAAACCACCAGAAAACCGGAAGTGGCACTATGGCTCAACTGGTAGAGTGCTTGCCTTGATCTGAAAAGCCTGAGGGATAGCACCCAGGCCAGAGTTCAAGCCCCATGACCAACCAAAAAGAATTAGTATGTTGTGTTCACATTTTTTACTTAGTCTTCTTGAGAAATAAGTTAGACAAATCATCCTAAGTCCCTCAGTTTCTTGCAGATATAATTTTACCCTCAGGCACTGGTGATGCTGGTGAAAAAACTCCACGGCAGCCCCTTGTGTTCCTCACTGCACTATACTTACTATCCGGAAAGATAGTTTTTATTTCCAATTGGGTGAATGGATACTTTTTTAAACTGGATTTATGTCAAAATGAAATAAAACAGATCTGACAGATATCCAGGGTTTGTGGATTTTGTTTTGTTTTGTTTTATGGTACTAGGAATAGGGTTAGAACCTAAGGTCACATACCTGCAAAACAAGTAATCTCAGCCCAAAGTTACTACTGTTTTAAATACTCTCAAATTTTTACTGTTAATGTTTGTACATCTTTTATTGTGGACCTATGGAAATAACTCCTTGACTAGCACTGATCCTTGAAGTTGAACTGACTCTGACTGTGCCCCCATTTTGCCCTAATACTCTTGTTTTCCCTTAGAGTGCTTATCTTTGAATTTAGGATCAGAGTTGAAGCCCAGTACTATTTGGAAACACTTGTTTTTGAATCACATTTAAGCTTAAGTTAAGCTATGGGAACTACAATTTAGAACTTAGCTAATATTATAAAAGTAGTCATTGTCCAGCCAGATGATCAGTCTTGGAGTTACTTATCCAAGCTATGTAGTTTTGAAGACTAAAATTATTCCAATAAGTTCCTAAAAAATCTCTAAACATATCTTTGTATAATGTGATAAAACATCTTCCCTTTTAAAAAATTTCCTGATAACATGATTGCCTCCAATAAACAATAAAACCAGAAAAGCAAAAAACTACTCATCCTATAATAATGTGTTTTGAAGTTAGAGTGTGCATTTAGTATTCCAGGATGAATTGTAAGTAATTTTACTACCCAACTTTTCAAAGTGGAAATGCTTTCTTAAAGACCAAGGGGTCCTCCCTTTTATCACAAGTAGTATATTTATGATGCTTTTTAATCTTTTTGGGGGGGCGGGTCCGGTTGTGGGGCCTGAACTCTGGGCCTGGGCGCTGTCCCTCAGCTCTTCAGCTCAAGGCTAGTGCTCTACCACTTGAGCCACAGCGCCACTTCTTTTCTTTTTTTCTTTTTGCTTATGTGGTGCTGAGGAATCGAACTCAGGGCCTCAGGCATGCAGGGCAAGCGCTCTACCACTGAGCCACCTTCCCAGCCCGATGCTTTTTAATCTTTAATATTGCTTTAGGCAAGTTTTAATGAAAAGATGAATTATTAGTTCTTCCTTTAAACAGAATTAAGCTTCTTAGTCACTATTACTTAAGTGTCACCAAAAACTTGATTTGAACTCAGACACTAGTGGCTCATGTCTGTAATCCTAGCTACTAAATCGGAGATTCTTACCTCCTATTAACTATCAGAAAGTTGGAAATGGAGCTGTGGCCCAAGTAGTAGAACACCAGCCCTGAGTGAAAAAGCCCAGGATCAGTGTTCAGGCCCTGAATTTGAGACCCAGTACTGGCACGTGTACATGTGAGCGCACGCGCATGTGCACGCATACACACACACACCAACCAACCACACAACCCACTTGATTTGAGGGCTGGAGGTGTGGCTCAAGAGAGCATCTGCCTACCAAGCATGAGGCCCTGAGTTCAAATCTCTTTACTGCCAAAATAAATCATCAGAGGAGATGACTTATTAACTATCATTGTTAAACTTAGTGGTGTGTGTGTGTGTGTGTTTTGCTAGTCCTGGGGCTCGAACTCAGAGTCTGGGCACTGTCTCTTGAACTTCTTTAGCTCAAGGCTAGCACTCTACCACTTGAGCCGCAGCGCTATTTCTGGCTTTTTCTGTTTATGTGGTACTGAGGAGTCGAACCCAGAGCTTCATGCATGCTAGGCAATCAGTCTACCACTAAGCCACATTCCCAATCCTAGTGTTTTTTTGTTGTTGTTGTTTTTCTTTAAGTGAAACCTATATGTTTACTTTGCAGGAATTACCCAACTCTGTCTTTCTGGTAATGGAGGTAGGTATTATACCAGCTCCTATTTAATTTGTTTCAAATTCCTTTTGATTTATGTGTGATTATCTAATAATCAACAGATTATTAGATTTTTTGGATTAATAAAGTCAATTTAATGATTTTAGCTTTTAAGGAATATAAAATTCAAACATTTGGATTATATAGTTATATTTTTAGATTAGAATTTATACTGTGTGCAAGTAATTTTTTTGAAATTCAGATTTGCTAAGAATAGATTGAATTAGTCTTAAATCACTGCCCTTATTTTAATTACTTTTTCTCTTATGTATCAGTATTGCAATGGTGGAGACCTGGCAGATTATTTGCAAGGTAACTTTGTTTGTATGTGTCAAACGTTCAATAAAGATAGTACTACAGTCTGTTTAATCTTGAGAAATGCTTCTGAAATATGCTTCTGTTTCCTGTAGTTGTGTAGGAATACTCAATAAATATTTTCCTATTTGTTTAATTTGTAGTCACTTTGCTGACCACCTATTTTCTGTTAAGTACTTATCTTTTTCATGTTTCTCTGTAACATTGGGGTGGGTGGGGTCCTTCTCCCTGGGAGGGAAGAAATCAAATAGAATTTCTGTTGTTTAAAAGGTTGACTGATCCAGTCACTAGTGCCTCTCAGCTAGTTCATCAGGAGCCTGAGATCAGAGTATCTTTATTTGAGGCAAGACTGGGCAAATTTGAGACACCTTCTCAGCCAGTTGCTGGATACTGTGGCATATACTTGTCATCCAAGCTACATAGGAGGCTGAGATTGGAAGAATCTCATTCTAGGCTGGTCTGGGCATAAAACAAGACTCTATCTCTGAGTAGTGCATTAAAGGGCTGCGGATGTGGCTCAGTGCTAGAATGCTTGGTTAGCAAGTTAAGAAGCCCTGAGTTCAAATCTCAGTACTCCACCCCCCCCCAAAAAAAAACTTGACTGGGTTGCATTGAAATGTTAGTCCTTTCATTTCTTTCAAAATAAAGTCATAATGGAAGAATATATTCAAGGATGTAGGTTTGTTAACAAAAGGTTATTATAATTACAAATTTTCAACACCAATAATGCTATAAGGATTAAATGTAACATTGAAATCAATTTTTTTGTGCCAGTCCTGGGGCTTGAACTCTGGCCACTGTCCCTGAGCTTTTTCTTAACCACTTGAACCACAGCTCTACTGGCTTTTTGCTGGTTAATTGGAGATAAGAGTTTAATAGATTTCCCTGCCTGGGTTGGCATTGAACCATAATCCTCAGATCTCAGTCTCCTGAGTAAGTAGGATTACAGGTATGAGCTACTGGTGCTCAGCTAAATTATTTTGCATGAAAAGTGGAGGGACAGCATCCAGGCCCTGAGTTAATGCCCCAGTACTGGCACACACAGAAATGTCATGAGTAAGCAGAAGCAGTGAGCCAAATGGGTACTTTCATTCATGGCCAGAAGAAATGATTTAAAGCTAAGGAGCACCATATTCTGTCTTTTCTATTTCTGACTCTTGCATTCTTTGACATCTAGTGTTCTAAATGCAAGTATCCTGCTAGGATCAGACTCAGCATCATTTGCCAGTCTAGAGCTCTCATTAGACTAGCAAGTTCCCTCATAAACAAGTATTACTCTCCATGTAGCACTTTACCTATTATAGCAGATTTTAAGTTAATTTTAGCAACATTTTTTATTTATGGTGTTAAATTCTGTGTTTGGTGTTTAAAGAGAAGTATTGTCAGAACAAGGGAATAGATAGTAAAGAACCTTGAGTTGGAGTTAACCAGACAAGCAGAGTTCTAGTTCCAGTATTTATGCCTCTTACTGTGTGATTTTGATTTTTTTGTTTTTATGCTTTTTTTTGTTGTTATTTTGTCATGGGGCTTGAACTCAGGGCCTGACCCTGAGCTCTTTTGCTCAAGTCTGTCCTCTGACACTTTGAGCCACAGTGCCACTTCTGGTTTTCCGGTGATTAACTGGAGATAGGAGTCTCACAGTCGTTCCTGCTCAGGCTGGCTTTGAACCACAATCCTCAGATCTCAGCCTCCTGAGTAGCTAGAATTAGAGGTATGAACTATCAGCACTCAGCATTAGTTTGTTTTTGTTTTTAACATTCTCTATTATAGTTCTTGAGAAAATTCCTTATAGTTAAATAAAAACACTTTTAAAAGATAATATGAAAGAGTTGGGTGTCAGTGCTTGTGCCAGTGGCACATTCCTGTAGCTACTTGGGAGGCTAAAAATGGAAGGATTAAAGTTTGAGGCCATTCCAGATAGAAAAATTCATGAGAACTTTTCTCAAAAATAACCACAATAAATAAGGGCTAGTGGCATGGATCAGGTGTAGTGCACTAGCCTAGCAAGCCTCAGTCTATAGGTTCTATCCCCAATACTGTTAAAAAGATAGATGAGCCGGGCGCCGGTGGCTCACGCCTGTAATCCTAGCTACTCAGGAGGCTGAGATCTGAGAATCGCGGTTCAAAGCCAGCCCGGGCAGGAAAGACCGTGAGACTCCTATCTCCAATAAACCACTAGAAAACCGGAAGTGGCGCTGTAGCTCAAGTGGTAGAGTGCTCGCCTTGAGCTGAAGAGCTGAGGGACAGCGCCCAAGCCCAGAGTTCAAACCCCATGACCTACAAAAAAAAAAAAAAGATAGATGAAAGAGGAAGTGGTACTGTGGCTTAAGTGGCAGAGTGCTAGCCATGAGCACAAAAGCTCAGGGACAGCACCCAGGCCCTGAATTCAAGCCCCAGGACTGGCAAAAAAATAGAAAAAGATACATGGAAGAAATTACATGCCTTCCCAGGAGGATTTCAAATTTAAGACAAATCTGAACGTCATAGCAAGCAAATTTTAGAACAGCCCAAAACTTGAGAGTGAGACCTTGTCTCAAGAAAAGAGAAAAAGGGGGGCTGGGAAGGTGGTTCAGTGGTAGAGCGCTTGCCTTGCATGCATGAGTCCCTGGGTTTGATTCCTCAGCACCACATAAGCAAAAAGAAAAAAGCTGGAAGTGGTGCTGTGGCTCAAGTGGTAGAGCGCTAGCCTTGAGCTGAAGAGCTGAGGGACAGCGTCCCAGATTTCAGGCTCCATGACCGGACCCCCCCAAAAAAAAAAAAGAGAAAAAGGAAGAAAAAATTATAGTCTTTAAATTATTATCTAGATTTGCTCTAACAGTAGCTACTCACCACATGGCGTCTTCAACTGTAGGTAATCTAGATTTTTGAGCATTTCATCAGAAGGAAAGAATGATTAAATCTCATTATAAGTTGAAATGATAATATTTTGGATGTATTGAGTTAAATATTTTCATTCTTAAAAGTATATCCACAAAAGATATAAAGTTATATATGTGGCACACATATTTTTGTTGGAGAGTACTCATTTGCAAGGTTTGGAATATATAGAAGGTCAACTATCATTTTGTAATTTGGTCATTTAGTCTTTTATTTGTTTGGATAAATAAAATTTATACCTTTTTTTTTTTGCCAGTTGTGGGGCTTGAACTTGGTACCTGGGTGCTGTCCCTGAACTCTTTTGCTGAAGGCTAGTACTCTACAACTTGGAGCAAAGGGCCACTTCCAGTTTTTTTGGTGGCTAATTTGAGATGAGAGTCTTAGGGACTTTGAACCATGATCCTCAAATCTCAGCCTCCTGAGTAGCTAGGATTACAGGTGTGACCCACCAGCACCCAACAATTTATAATTTTTTTTTTT